CTACCAGCGCTGCCCCGTCCCTCTCGCCCGCAGGTCGTGGTGGGCAATGACAAAGCCTTCACCTACGACTACGTGTTCGACCCGTCCGTGGAGCAGGAGGAGGTTTTCAACACCGCGGTGTCGCCTCTGGTCCGTGGCATCTTCAAAGGTTTGTCCCGGGTTTTGCCCGTTTGGAGCCCGTTCCTTTCCGCAGAACGGCGTGGGGCGTGTGCTCTGAGGCAGTTTTCATGGAATGCCACAGGGATTTGGGTTGGAAAGGACCTTAAAGCCCATCCAGTGCTACCCCTGCCATGTGCAGGGACATCTTCCCCTGTCCAGCCTGGTCTTGGATGCTTCCAAGAGGATCCAGAGGCAGCCACAGCTTCTCTGGGCCTCCCCCCATCACAGGGAACAATTCCTTCCCAATATTCCTCTGGCAGTGGGAAGCCATTCCCTTTGTCCTGTGACTCCAAGCCATTATAAAAAGTCCCTCTCCCTCCTTAAGAATAACACAATGAATAGATAAACATCCTGTTCCAGGATACTGCAGTGAAGCTGGGATGGCAGAGAATTTGTGCTGTGTTTCTGTTTAGCTCTAATAAAACATCCAGTCTTAAAAAAGAGCTGAAATAATAATTTTCTCTGTGCTTTATGAAGTTTTCATTGCCCTTTTTTTTTTCCTTCCATGTTCCAGACTGTGATGTATGCTTAAAGCTGGTGTAAGCTGATGATTTTCTGCAAGGGTGGTTTTCAGAAATGCAGCTTTCAGTCTCCACGTGACTCACCCGGGTGTCCTTTGTCCCCTCAGGATACAATGCCACTGTCTTGGCCTATGGACAGACGGGGTCAGGGAAAACCTATTCCATGGGAGGCACCTACACTGCCAACCAGGAGCACGAGCCCAGCGTGGGGGTCATCCCCAGGGTCATCAAGCTGCTCTTTGAGGAGAAACAGCAAAGGCACGATTGGGACTTCGTCCTCAAAGTTTCTTATTTGGAGGTAAAAGTTTGGTTTTTATCAAGTTAGGAATAAAGGGAGCTTTGAGGTCACCTCCTTCAAGTAACAGATACTGATTAAATCAACCCCTAAGACTCCAGGAGGTCTTGTTAGTTCTTACTGTCTTTCCCTGAAGGTGAAATGAATAAAATGTGGTGCTAAATTAGCCCTAATTTCAGCCTGACTGCTCCTTTCTTTGGCTGGTAACTCTGCTCTGCTCCTCTGCTGCCTCCAGATTTACAACGAGGACATCCTGGACCTGCTGTGCCCCTCCCGAGAGCGCTCCCCCATCAGCATCCGGGAGGACCCCAAGGAAGGCATCAAGGTCTGCAGGGCTGGGGGCTGAAGGAGGGCTCCATGTGGGACTTTCTGTCATCCCCAAAACACTGGGGTGGGGATCATCCATGTGGTGGGAGCAGCACACAGAGATCCAGGGGGTTGGATGCTCAGGGAAACTTGTTCCTTGCCAAGGAGCACATCCAGTCCCTCCTGCTCATCCCCTGGGAGCTGCCTCTGCAATACTTTATTCACACAAATCCCCTCCCCATCAGCCCCTTCCTGTGGCTGGCACAGCTCTCAGCTCCCAGCTTGGCCTGGGATATCCATGGATTTGTCCCTGGAGCCCTGAGGAGCTCTGGCTCCATCCCAGAGCCCAGCTGGATCTGGAGCAGGCAGAGGAAACCTGGGGGGTGTTTAGGAACAGCATCAGGACGTGATTCCAGGTTCCTGAAGTAAAATTCACAACCAGTTTTTCCTGGGAGTTTCCATTCCAGCTCCCTGGGGATGGGTTGGCACAACCTGAGGTGCAGGGAGATTTTTCTGGTCCCAGGTGGGATGAAGAGGAAGCAGAGGATAAACAATGTTTCCTTCCTGGCTCAGATTGTGGGGTTGACAGAAAGAAATGTCACCTGTGCCCAAGAGACCGTGTCCTGCCTGGAGCAGGGGAACAACTGCAGAACTGTGGGATCCACGGCCATGAATTCCCAGTCCTCCAGATCCCATGCCATCTTCACCATCTTCATTGATCAGAAGAAGAAAAATGACAAGTGAGTGTCACTGTGCAGCTGAGAGTTACTTTCCCAAAATTCCTCATCCTGGTCCTGAGCTGTGCTTCTCAAGGCAGTTCAGGTTTTGGCTCCCTGAATTTTCAGCTCCTGGGCTGCTCCTTTTCCACCTGGGAGAGTAAAACAGTTTCTTTCTGCCCTAGGAATTGCAGTTTTCACTGCAAGTTACACCTGGTAGATCTTGCTGGTTCTGAGAGACAAAAGAAGACCAAGGCTGAGGGAGACAGACTCAAAGAAGGTCTCTGTGCTGGGATTGGTGGAGTTTGGGTTTCTTCTCACTTGGGAGTTAATAAAAGAGCAAAGCACTTCTTTAACCCTTTAATCTGTTTTTTTTAGCCTTGTTACATTTTTAATAAGGGCAGGAAATGAGGAGTTTGGAGCTGTTGAGGTGGCTGTGCTCACTGTGAGCTTTGTCTGCAGGAATCAACATCAACAGAGGCCTCCTGTGCCTGGGGAATGTCATCAGTGCTCTGGGAGAGGAGAATAAAAAGGGAGGCTTTGTCCCCTACAGAGACTCCAAGCTGACCAGGCTGCTGCAAGGTGAGAGAAGATGATGACAAAGCCTGAACTTACAGGTGCTTTTTAAATAACAAAACAGGAGAAATCCCCCAACTCAGAGCTGCTGCTGCAAAGGGATTTGTTTGTTTAATTTCTCACTGAAGCCAGGCCTTTCCTGGACTCTTATTTTAGGTTGCAAATGCAGTGAGATGAGCTCAAAACAAGTCCTGCTCTCCTGCACTTTGTGTGACAGGAGGAAACGAGACAAAATCAGGGCTTATTTTTGGTGGGGAGTGTTGGGATCATTACCTTGTCAGAGTGACCCTGAGAAGAGTTGGAAAGTCTCTTTTCCTAGCCTGGCACTTGAAGAAGGAGTCAGGGCCCTTCATTTCTTGGTCTCAAGATAGTTTTTTACAGATAAGATAAAATAAACATTCTCCTGCCCTGCCAAGGTCAGCTCAGCAAGACAGTCTGAGGCACTCTGACCACCCCCAGGCAGTGTCATCTTTTATACTACAAACTACTTATATCATATTTACTTTTAATTCCCAATACCTATCACCTGTGTTACACAGTGCATTTCTTCTCTAAACCAATCCCTGAGTGCCAACATCACAGCAGAAAATGGAGAACATGAAGAAGAAAGAAGGATGAGATACACTCTGATTCCTTCATCTTGTCTTCATAACCCCTATACCAAAAATCCTAAAATCTACATTTTCACCCTGTGAACACTCCATTCTCACACCATGCAAACTTGTGTGGCTCTCATGTCCTCATGCACAGGTGGCACTTCCTTAGAAGGATCAAAATCAAGCCACCAGGTGTTCTGGGCAACTCTGGACATCCAGAGGGATGGTCTGACTTCCCACATCTCCCCCTTCTGTTTGCACCAAAAACACTTCTTCTGCAACTGAGTTCCCACAGGGGAGAAGGAAGAGAAGTCTGGGAGCAGAGATCTATTATTGTACCTTAATTATAGCAACTCCCTGGGTGATGTCACAGCCAGAATGAAGCTCCAGCTGTCTGTGCCTTCCCTGGGATTTGTTTTCTTAGTCTGAAGATCTGGTCTTTATTTTTCAGTAGCTGGGATTTGTCTTTCAATGCATTTTATTTAAGTTACTCTTTAATTTGGGCAAAGCTTTAGTAATGAAATTACTGGGATTTTGATGGTAATTACATAATTTGCTGCAAAAGCTCTTCAGTATTTTCCATGTCTGAAAGTAACTAATTAAAACCTGGATTAGGCTGGATGTGGGGCCCCTTTTTCTTAATGATCAGTACCTTTAAGAGCCAATTTGTATAAAACC